AGCTTACATTCTAGTAAGGAAGGTGAACAATAGAGCGCACATGAAATAAATATGCGAAAGACATACTGCGTTAGAAAAGCAAGGCTGATAAGTGGGATACACATTCTGTGATTGGAATTGTAAATGGATGGTTGGGGTAGTTTCACAAGGTGATGGAGCAACAAGCTATGAAGATATCTGGGAAGGAAGTGTTCCTGGCAGAATGATTGAAAACAGCAGCAGCCGGGGAGGTGGCTCACGCCTGTAATCTCAACACTTTGGAGGCTGAGGCGGGCGGATCACGAGGTCAGGAGATGGAGACCGTCCTGGCTAACACAGTGAAACCTCGTCTCTACTAAAAATACAAAAAATTAGCTGGGCATGGTGGCGGGCACCTGTAGTCCCAACTACTCAGGAGGCTGAGGCAGGAGAATGGTGTGAACCCGGGAGGCAGAGCTTGCAGCGAGTCAAGATCCTGCCACTGCACTCCAGCCTGGGCGACAGAAGGAGACACCGTCTAAAAACAAAAACAGAAACAAAACAAAACAAAACAAAACAAACAAAAAAATGGCAGCGACCGGGCGCGATGGTTCACACCTGTAATCCTCATACTTTGGGAGGTCAAGGTAGGCGCGTCGCCTGAAGTCAGGAGTTTGAGATCAACCTGACCAACATGGTGAAAACCCCATCTCTACGAAAAATACAAAAGTTAGCTGGGCTTGGTGGCAGGTGCCTGTAATCCCAGCTACTCAGGAGGCTGAGGCAGGAGAACCGGTTGAACCTGAGAGGCAGAGGTTGCGGTGAGCTGAGATTGCGCCATTGCACTCCAGCCCAGGCAACAGTGTGAGATCCTGTCTCAAACAAACAAACAAACAAAGCAGCAGAGTCCTAAGGCAGGAGGTTGTGTGCATCCAGGAATCCACAGGGAGCAGGTGTAGCTGGCATGGAGGAGGAAGACAGAGTAGGAGTGAAGGAAACGAGGCCAGGGAGGTGATGGGGGCCAGACTGTGTGGGGTCTTATGTGCCAAGGCGAGGTCTTGTTTTTTACCCTGAAAGTGATCGAGGTCTTTGGAGGGATGGTGAGCAGAGGGTGACATGTACTGACATATTTTATGGGGCTCACACTAGCTATCATATGATGGATATGAAAGCAAAGACCTATTAGCAAGCTACTGCAACTGGTGGTGTTGACTCAGACCCAGCAGCAGCAGTGAAGCTGGGCAGAATATGGTAGATTTGAAACCTATTTCACTAGCTGGTCTCTGTTTTGGGGCTTTAGGAACTGGATTCCTCAGGCCTCAGCCCAGCTGAGTTGGGGGCTCCCCAAAACCTCCACTGACATCTTGATTCCACTGCTTTTCACCTTTTCTGGAGGCTGAGGGAGAGCCCTGAGGCCTGCCTGTCCCCTTTGGGAAGCTCCACCTGACTGCAGCCTCTGTCTCCCAGCCTGAGCCCCTCACTCCCTCTGGTTCTGTATGATTCATTGTCTGACCTTCCCTGGGGGAGGGAGGCAGTGATCTGACCTACCCGCCCAATTCAGTAGCCATGGAGCTGGGGGAGGTATCTATGAGGCCAGTTTGATGGATGGGTGAGAAGAAAGAAAGTCTTCCTTCCTGATCTCCTCCTCATCCCTCACCCCCATCCTCTGGAATCATGACAGTTACATAATCACCTCCACCTTACTCCTTCCCACAGGCAGAGAGCCAGAAGGGGAGGTATGTGGGCAATGAGCATGGGTAAGTAAGAAGAGAGCAAGAGAAAAGCTTCCAGGGGGACAGAAAGGAAGAGAAAGACAAAGAGAGAGAGAGCGAGAGAGAGGGAGAGCACACCAGAGAGAGACGGAGGGGAGAGAGAGATGGAGAGAGAGAGAGAGAGAGAACACCAAGGAGAAATGGGGGAGAGACAGAGAAAGAGATGGAAAGAGAGAGGAGAGGGAGAGAGAGATGGAGAGAGAAAGATAGAGAGAGAGAAAGAGAGACAGCACCACGGAGAGATGAGAGGGAGAGTAACAAGGAGAGATACAGCACCAGGGAGAGATGGGGAGGTGAGAGAGATGGAGAGAGAGAGAGAGAGAGAGACAAAGAGAAAGAGAGAGACAGAGAGCACAAGGGAGATATGGAGACAGAGAGAGGTGGGGGAAGGAGAGAGAGATGGAGAGAGAAAGCATGCACCAGGGAGAGATGGAGGGAACAACAGAGAGAGAGGGATGGAGAGAGAGAGAGCACCAGGGAGAGATGGGGGAGAGAGAGAAAGGAAGAGAGAGAGAGAGAGAGAAAGAGCACCAAGGAGATATGGGGGGGAAGGAGAGAGATAGAGAGATGTAGAGAGAGAAAGAGAGACCAAGAGCACCAGGGAGAGAGGGGGGTGAGGGAGATGAAGAGAGAGAGGAGAGAGAGAGAGAGAGAGAGCTCAAGGGAGAGATGGAGAGACAGAGAGGTGGCAGGAGGAGAGAGAGAAGAAGAGAGAGAGAGCATATCAGGGAGAGATGGAGGGAGAGACAGAGAGAGAGATGGAGAGAGAGAGAAAAAGAAAGACAGAGCACCAGGGAGAGATGGGGAGAGAGAGAGAGACAGAGAAAGAGATGGAGAAAGAGAGAGAGGAGAGAGAGAGATGGAGAGAGAGAGAGAAAGAGAGGTAGATAGCACCAGGGGAAGATGGGAGAGAGAGAGATAAAGAGCACCAGGGAGAGATGCAGGGGGGAGGAGAGAGACAGAGAGAGAAAAAGAGAGACCGAGAAGAGCACCAGGGAGAGATGGAGGGTTGAGGCAGATGGAGAGAGAGAGAGAGAGACAGAGAGACAGAGAGAGACAGAGAGACAGCACAAGGGAGAGATGGAGAGAGAGAGGTGGGGAGAGGAGAGAGAGATGGAGAGAGAGAGAGAAAAAAAAAGAAAGACAGAGAGCACCAGGGAGAGATTTTTTAAACTAAAAATAATTGCAGAGTCCTCAAACCCCAATCTCCAGTACTTTTCTTGCCTTGCTCCACCCCAGGACCACAATTCAAAGCCTCAAGTCTATCAGAATTTCTCCCTCCAGTCTGCCTCCTCTCCATTTCACCTTACAAGATTCCAGAAGCTTCTGTAGTAAATATATAAGCCAAAAAGGAACTCCCAAGCTTGTCTGTGGAGTCCCACCCAAAGTTGCACCCCAACTGCCTTGCTGCCTTGCTAGCTGTTTCCCATCTACCCACCTCCTCCTTTTCCATCCCTTCAGCACTAACCCATCTCACCACCTGGACAGACTTGAGAAAGCCCTGTGGTTTATTTGCAAAGTGCTCCTCCAGAAAGGGCAGAGGCCAGAGCCCAGGAGAGAGGCAGCCCTGGGAGGTAGGATGGCCCCAGATCCAGAGTAGTAAGAGGTCACTAGGGACAATGAGGAGTGAGAAGGCTGAGGGCACTGTGGTCCTCATTCCACCCACCTTCCATTCTGCTGTTGCTCTTAAAAGACAAGTTGCTCTGTTTGTTGTTTTATTTCTGTGTTGGTGACAGAAGATGTGCCATGCATTTGCACTGGCAGAGTCCCTGCTACTCTTCAGAGGCTACAAGGAGCCCAAAGCTGGCAGGTGCTGCAGAGGCCAACAGGTTAGCATCTCAGGGCTGAGTCCCAGAGCCAGCTTCCCTTTAACCACAGGCTGGCTGATGTATCCTTGTGATAAAGATATTAAACTTGCAACCCCTCCTTCAGGGAAGGGTGGTGGTCCTGCTGGTGGAATGTGTGGGGGCTGGATTTGTTTATTTATTTATTTTTATTTTTGAGATGGAGTCTTGCTTTGTTGCCCAGCCTGGAGTGCAGTGGTGGGATCTGAGCTCACTACAACCTCTGCTTCCTGCATTCAAGTGATTCTCCTGTCTCAGCCTCCTGAGTAACTGGAACTACAGGTTTGTGCCACCATGCCTGGCTCATTTTGTTGTTGTTGTTGAGACAGGGTTTCGGTATATTGGTCAGGTTGGTCTCGAACCCCTGACTTGAGGTGATCCACCTGTCTCAGCCTCCCAAAGTGCTGCAATTATAGGCATGAGCCACTGCATCCAGCCTGGAGGCTGGATTTAGACTGGTTCCACTGCAAGAATAGTGCTAAGCTTTACCAAAAGGGTGGCACTGCAGCACGGGGGATCGAGAGTAACTGGCAGGCAGAATTGGGGGTATCCTGGGCCCTTTGGGGATGATAATTTATTCTGGGTCTCAGAAGAAAGTGGGATATGGAGGAGACAGTCTGATGGAGAGGCCTAGCTCCATTTTGGGAGGGCTGTGGGGTTAGGGGATGCTGATTAGCCACTCATTCATTCATTCATTCATTCCTCAGCAAATATTTTGAAAACCTGTCATAGGCCACACACTGTGTTGAGAGTAGGGTGATGAGTAAGACAATGGTTTGGCCCTTCACAGAGTTGGCATTGAGGTGAGAGAGGTGTTCTCACCAACATTCCTTCCAGAAAAATCCCTAGGGACCTGACAATAAAAGGATAACACACGAAATGGCACAGATCACCTCTTGACCTGGGGAGGTCAGGCTTTAGAGAGGTTTATGTAATCCTCAGGGAATTGAAGGAACATATCAGAGAATCCAAAGCACCGTGCAGAATCCCACAGCTCAGGGAACCTGGGCCAAGGAGGCTTTTGACAGAGGGAAGCAGTAGGAAGAGGCAGCTGGGAATGAGGATGGGGGAAGACTACAGCAGTGTGTGACTGTGGTCTACAACAGGCATGACCCTCAAAAATAGCGTTCAACGTGAAAGCAACCAGACACAAAAGATCACCTATTACGCCTGTAATATCAGCACTTTGGGACGCTGAGGTGGGTGGATCACCTGAGGCCAGGAGCTCACGACCAGCCTGGCCAACATGTCCCTACTAAAAGTACAAGAAAATGTACCAGGCATGGTAGCACATGCCTGTGATCCCAGCTACTTGGGAGCTGAGTCAGGAGAATCTCTTGAAACCGGAAGGTGGATTTGCAGTGAACCAAAATCGCGCCACAGCACTCCAGCCTGGGAGACAGAGCAAGGCTTAGTTTCAAAAAAAAAAAAAAAAAAAAAAAAAAAAAAAGTCAAATATTGTATGATTCTGTTCATAGGAAATAATCAGAATCGGTAACGCCATAGAGACAAAAACCAGATTGTCAGGGGCTGAGATGAAAAGGAGAATGGGGAATGGGGAGTGACAGCTTGACAGGTATGGGTTTTGTTGGGGGAAAGATAATGAAAACATTTGTAACTAGGTGAATCACCTGACATCAGGAGTTCGAGACCACCTAAAAATACAAAACTTAGCCGGGCATGGTAGGGGGTGCCTGTGATCCCAGCTACTTCAGAGGCTGAGGCAGGAGAATCTCTTGAACCCAGGATATGGAGGTTGCAGTGAGCCGAGATGGCGCCACTGAACTCCAGCCTGGGTGACAGAGCGAGATTCTGTCTCAGAAAAAAAGAAAATGTTTGGAACTAGATGGTGGTGGCTGTACAGCTTCGTGAATGAACCACATGCCACTAAATTGTACACTTTAAAATGGCTAATTTTATGTTATGTGAATTTCATCTTAATTTTTAAAATTATATATATATGGCCAGGCACGGTGACTCACATCTGTAATCCCAACACTTTGGTAGGCCAAGGTGGGTGAACCATTCGAGTTCAGGAGTTCAAGACGAGCCTGGCCAACACGATGAAACCCCGTCTCTACTAAAAATACAAAAATTAGCCGAGCTTGGTAGCGCACACCTGTAATCCCAGCTACTAGGGAGGCTGAGGCAGGAGAATTGCTTGAACCCCGTGAGTGGAGGTTGCAGTGAGCTGAGATCGCATCAATGCACTCCAGCCTGGGCGACAGAGTAAGACTCCATCTAAATATATATATATAATTATACATATATAATTTTGTATATTATAATTTTCAATAATCTCACTCCTCCACTCACTTGCAATGTGACCTCAGACAACTGGTGCCATGGAGGGGAAGGAAGCTGGCTTGCTGCTGGTCTCTCAGAGGCAGGAAGTTGCGGGGAGTCAGAGCCACTGTCTACAGAGGTGGGGACACTGAATGACCTTGGAATCCTTTGACCCCTTTCCCTCAGCCCCTTCAGCGGGGCAGGAAGCGGATCTGGTACGTTGGGGGTATTTTGCCCACACCACTCTCCTGGGGTGTCAGGTCGATGTCTTCAGGAGCCACGGGGCTGGCCACGGAGAAGTTCTGGAGGATGGTGGTGAAGAAGAGGAACAATTCATTGCGGGCGATGCCTTCACCAAGGCAAATCCGCCTCCCTGTGGACACAGAAGGTCACCAGCGTGGGCACAGGACAGGTGCATACTCTTTGCCCTGATATGTCCCTAAGTCCAACGTATGTCCATTGCAACAGATTTGCACAAGACTGGCCTTTAACCTGCAATTCAGGGTGGACTTTTAGGAAGCTGCTCTGAAACCAGGTGCAAATCTTTGAGTAGATGTGCCACGTTCATTTCTCACTCACTCACTCTCTCTCTCCTTTTTTTTTTTTTTTTTTTTTGAGATGGAGTCTCTTTCGGTCACCCAGGCTGGATCACAGTGGCACCATCTCGGCTCACTGCAACCTCCGTCTCCCACAGGGTTCAAAGGATTCCCATGCCTCAGCCTCCCAAGAAGCTGGGATTACAGGAACCTGCCACCATGCCTGGCGAATTTCTTATATTTGTAGTAGACATGGGGTTTCACCATGTTGGTAAGGCTGGTCTCAAACTCCTGACCTCAGGTAATCCACCAGCCTTGGCCTCCCAAAGTGCTGGGATTACAGGCATGAGCCACTGTGCCCAGTGCCATGTTCATTTTTCTAGTAGAGAGTTGGTACCTTCTGTTACAGTTCCAAAGGGTTTTGTGACCTCCACAGAGTATAATGACCTGCTTCTGGTTGTGTGCGTGTGTGTGTGTGTGTACCTCTACATGTGTGAGTGTGAGCGTATTTATGACAACATTCTTAGTGTTCTTCACTTGTCATACGGGGAGAATGGCACCCCTCTCAAAGGGCTCTTGTGAGGTTAAAGGAGACAACTGACAAAATTCTTAGGATAGCGCTTGGCTTGTACTAAGGAGCCTTAAGGTTTGGTTATCGCCTTGTGTTTGTTTCTGGGGGTATGTGTGGGGTATGTGTTTCTGGCCATGTGTCTGTGTGTGTGTCTCTAGGCTGTCTTCTGGTCTCAACCTGAGATCCACAGGCTTCAAGAGCTCATGGGGGAAGAAATCCAAATTGTATATAAATTGTGAATGGGACTCATGCATATGAAACAGGGAGGGTCTATGGCTTCCACTGATTCTCAGAGGTGCAAGGAACCCCCAGTAGGTTCTAAACTACAGACTTGGAGAAAAATGAGAACAAAGGGAGCTGGGAAAAGCTGAGGCAAAGACAAAGGGAGCCTTTCCCTTCACTTCAGTGTTTCGTAATCTGCAAACCTTGGAAAGGCCATGTCGAGTGTGAGTTTTCAGGCATTCCCTACGCCTGTCAAGTTGTTGGACAAGTGTGTCTACGTGGAGGTGTCTGGAAAAGGGTCCACGTCCCTTTGGCACATCCAGAAGGTGGGCGACATGAGCTGAGAAACACGCAGGTCTCTGGGCTTGTCCTTCTGTAACTATTTGTGTGACCTAACGTTTTCCACAACAGCCTGATGCTTGTTATCTCCCTCCCATCACACTCTCCCCATCTCTGGGGCCATCTGTTTGGACACCTTTTGGAATTTCTTTGGCTGCAGCACCTTTTTGGCTTGGGTTATACCTTTCTTTCTGCCCCTGGCAGCCCTACCCCTGTCTTTTTCTCTGTCTATACCTGTCAGACACAGTTTTTCTTCCTTTCCTCTCCTTTTTTGGGCTTTCTTCCATCTTGCTTAACTTCCTATCTCCATCTATTTGAATCTGATTCCTCCCCAATCTCTCTTGCTCTCTCCTTCCTTTTCATCTCCCTCTCAAGATACCTTATTTGTCTTGTTCATTCTTTCTTCCTCTCTTCTTATGTCACTCTCTCTTTTTCCTATCTCTTATTCTGTTTCTCTCCTTTCCCTCCTTCCTTCTCCCCTCCTCCTTCCTTTTCCTCCTCCCTCTTCTCTTATTCCTCCGCCTCTTCCTCCTCCTCCTTATGTGGCCCTCTCTCTGTGTGTCTCTCTCTCTTCTTCTCCGTATACTGTCTGATGTTCACCTGCTGTCTGTCTTTCTGCCACTGTCTCCCCATCTCTTTCTCTCAGGGTGTTCCCTCTTTGTCCCTAACTCTGTTTCTCAGTCTCATTATCTTTGTTACTTATCTGTCTCTGTCCTTATTTTCCTACATCTCTGCCTCTCTTAAAACAAAGGAGCAGGCCAGTTGCAGTGGCTCACGCCTGTAATCCCAGCACTTTGGGAGACCAAGGCAGGCTTACCACAAGGTCAGAAGATCAGGACCATCCAGGCTAACAGAGTGAAACCCTGTCTCTACTAAAAATACAAAAAATTAGCCAGATGTGGTGGCACGAGCTTGTAGTCCCAGGTACTTGGGAGGCTGCGACAGGAGAATCGCTTGAACCCAGGAGGCAGAGGTTGCAGTGAGCTGAGATCATGACACTGCACTCTAGCCTGGGCAACAAAGCAAGACTCTAACTCAAGAAAAAAAAACAAAAAAACTTAAGATAGCAAAATTGAGAGATGACATTAACCCTCAAGCCATCACCCCATGTGTTCCCAACTTTTATTGAAGGTAAAATGTGGAAGGAGGCCACTGTACTGGACAAAACGAGGGGTTGGGCCAGGACCCTGGATCACTGAAGTCACTGATGAAACTCAAGACTGGGGGTTTGTTTCTGGGGCCTTTCATGGACGGTGCCTGTTAAATTAAATTAAATTTGGCCTAAAGTGGCCTCCCTACATAACAAACCATAATAACTCAATATGTAACTCAATATGTAAACAAACTGCAATGTAACTTGAGAGTATATTCTTGTAACAAGTAATCTTGGCCAATCAGGGCAGCCAAGTTTCAGGCAATCACAGGCTGCAAGCTGCCCAGACATTCTCAGATAAGGCAAACACAGAGCTGTAACCAATCAGGCTGTTTCTGTACCTCAGTTCCTTTCCCTGTGGATAATAATGCCTGACCACATTGCTGGATGGAGCTCTCTGAACCTTTACTGGTTCCGTGTGCTGCCCAATTCATGAATCGTTTCTTTGCTCAAATAGACTCTGCTAAGTTTAATTTGTCTAAAGTTTTTCTCTTAACCAGCCAAAGAGTGGAGGATGAGAACTGGGACAAGTCAGAGCACGTCAAGACCTTCTCCACCCTCCAGTGCTAGAGCAGAAATCCAAACTCCTCTGGCAGATTTCAAGGTCCTGCCCAGCTGAGCCCTTTGTCTTATTCCCTTCTGCAATCTACACCCAAGGCAAACTGGATTTCCTATAGTTTCTCAACGGTACCATCACGTTTCCACCTTTGGCCTTTGCCTTTGCTGTTTCCTTTGCCTGGAACACACTTTGCAATGGTTGATTGACACTCACCCATGAACATCTTGGCTTGGAAGCCAGTTCCTCTGGTAAACTTTTCCTTACTGACCCACCACAAGACTAGCTAGTATTTCCTATTTTGTGCTCCCAAAGCTCCCTTTAGAGTACTTATGTCTAATTATAATAATTGCCCTTGTGCCAGGCGGTTCTAAGCATGTTGCAGGCATTCATTCATTTCATGAGATGATTGTTTTATTATTATTTGATGAATGCCCATCTTCCCTGTTGGACTTTAAATTTCCTGGGGCAGGAACCCTGTCTCTGTGTGGCTTTTTTGATGCATTATCTTCAGCCCCCAGTAGAGCACTGGGCTTAGGGTAGTGCTCAACAGATTTTTTCTTTTTAAGAAAATGAATTCACTGAGGTTTAGAGATGTTAAAATACTTGCCCAAGGTCCTGCTTGCCAAGATGTGCCTTTGGAATGTGATCTTCCTTTTCAAGCCCCCTTACAGGGTTATAGTGAAGATGGAATGGGATAAGGCAGGTGAAGCAATTGGAATATATTAAGTGCTCAATTAATAAGGACCTGTCATTGTTTTTCTCAAGTTGAGGGTAGGACCTGCCCTTGGTGTCTGGGAAAGAAATTGTGGGTCCAGCTTACCTAAGGAGAAGGGGATAAAAGCTTCATTCTTCTTCAATGCCCCATTGGCATCCAGAAAGTGGTCAGGATTGAAGGTGTCTGGTTTCTCAAAGTAGTGTGGGTCATGGAGAGCAGTACTCAGGAGGGGAAATACTTCTGTGTCCTGAGGGAGGATCACAAGATCAAAAGATATTGTCATTCCCTTCCCACCCTCCACACACACACACCACAAAAAAAGAAAAAGAAAAAACAAAAACAAAGGGACTCAATTGAGAAGCTTAAAAAAGGTTGAGTTTGGGGATTAAGAGAATCCAGGATGCCCACAGAGGAAGGATGTGGCAGTCCAGCTGGTGTTACCTTGGGGATGATGTACCCTCGGAAGCTGGTCTGTTGTGTGACAATGTGGGGCACACCCATGGGGAGAAGGTCGGCAAATCTCTGAATCTCATGGATGACTGCCTCTGTGTATGGCATTTTGGCTCGGTCATCAAGCGCTGGAGGGCGATGTGGGCCAATCACCTGTTCAATCTCCTTGTAGATTCTCTCTGCAGAGGAAAGAACACGAATGAATCTCATTTTAAAGAGGCATTTCAGGCCGGGCATGGTGGCTCATGCCCATAATACCAGCATTTTGGGAGACCGAGGCAGGCAGATTGCTTGAGGTCAGGAGTTCAAGATGAGCCTGGCCAACATGGCAAAACCCCATCTCTACTAAAAATACAAAAAATTAGCCGGGTGTGGTGGTGCACGCCTGTAGTCCTAGCTACTCAGGAGGCTGAGGCAGGAGATTCGCTTGAACCCAGGAGTTGGAGGTTGCAGTGAGCTGAGATCGTGCCATTGCACTCCAGCCTGGGTGACAGAGCAAGACACCTTCTCAAAAGAAAAAAAAAGAAAAAAAAATTTTTTTAAAGAGACCTTTCAGCAGGGACACTACTTTCTACTCAACAATGAAAAACCTATAGTAAAGGGTCAGATCCTTGATACCCCTCAAAGCAATCAGCATGGGGTGAGGGGAGGAGGGAGGAAGCAACCAGAATTCTCACTGATTGAAATCTAATGGATATTAGGGATCCTCTTCCCACATGCACAGGTACACACACACACACATGCACACACACACCACAATTTTGCATGGAATTTCAGATTAAGAACTGCAGGCTACAACCACTCAAAACATCCTCTCTAAGATGAGTAGAAAATAAACTATAAACTAATATTTATTTTGTGTATAATATACATGAGACACTATTCTTGGTCCTCAGAAACATAGCAGTGTAGTAGAACAATAGATGAATCCATGAACAACTGGATAGATAAATAAATACATAAATCAATCAGTCAATAGATTAACTCACGGATGGAAAGATGGGTGAATAAATGAACAAACGAATAAATGGATGTATAGATTTACTTATCAATTAGTAGATGGATTGCTCAATTAATCACTAATGCATGGTCCATAGAGAAATCAATGAAACCAATTAATGAATAATCACATGAATGGCTGGATTTACGGAAGAACAAGTGAATAAGTAAATTAGTGAAGTATGAATAAATAAAGGAATAAAGGAATGGCTGAATTGAGTGATAAATAGATCAGAGGTGAATAAATGAGTGAATTACTGTGATAAACGAAGGAACGCATGGATGGAATAAGGGTGAATTGAAAGATTGACTGATGCAAGGATAAGGGTGAAACCTAGTTCGTAGAAGGATGGATGAATGCATGAATGAATGAATGAATGAGCCAATGAATCAATGACAAATAGTCCATCAACATATCACTGTTTCAAAGAATCAACTTGTGGATCAAGTAATCCAAATAAATGAATGACAGTATATGTCTTTGGATGAATCATAGATGAAAGAATCAGTGAGTATACATTCTTTAATCAATGAATTAAAGAATGAATAGATGAAAAGATAAGTAGATGAATGGATCAATTTTAAAGTGATGGTACAGAAAGTCAAATATCGCATGTTCTCACTCATATGTGAGTGCTACAAAATGTGTACACATGGACACAGAGAGAGGAATGATAGACAGTGAAGACTCAGAAGAGAGAGGGAGCAGAAGTGGATGAATGATGAGAAATTACTTAATGGGTACAATGTACATTGTTCGGTGATACATACCCTAACAGCCCTAACTTGACCACTACAAAACTTAGGCATGTAATAGAACTGCTATGTACCCCTTAAATTTGTACATCATGAGGTCAGGAGATCAAGACCATCTGGGCGAACACGGTGAAACCCCGTCTCTACTAAAAATACAAAAGATTAGCTGGGTGTGGTGGTGGGCGCCTGTAGTCCTGGCTACTTGGAAAGCTGAGAATCGGAGAATGGTGTGAACCCTGGAAGTGGAGCTTGCAGTGAGCCAAGATCATGCCACTGCACTCCAGCCTGGGCAACACAGCGCGACTCTGTCTCAAAAAACAAAACAAAACAAAAACAAAAACAAAAAACAAAGAAAAAAAAAACAACTTAGAACAAAAAATCCTTAAATGATGGAAGAAACCAATGGGAGAATCTATGGACAGGTTCTTCATGCGTTCATGCATCCACCAACAGAATTGGCTTGGTGGAAGCTAGTCCAAAGCCTGCAGTGCTCCCAGAATAGGAAGCCAGCATCCCCTCTCTCATCCAGGTGGTACCCACAGCCCCATTTCTACAGCTCAGAAGGAGGTCAGAAGACCCCCTTGACTGGCTGTCCCTTGCCCACCTGCGACGTGAGGGTATTTGAGCATGAGCAGGAAGCCGTAGCGGAGAGTGGTGCTGGTGGTCTCAGTGCCAGCAAAGAAGAGCGAGAGCGTGTTCATGATGAGGTTCCGGTGGCTGAATTCACTGTGTGGGTTGGATTTCTCCTGTGTCCACAGTAGGGAGGGGCAGAGAGGGGGAGGCTGTAGCCTTGCTGTGCACACGCCCGTCTCCCTGGCTGCCCTCTGTTTGCCTAAAGGTCTTTGACACTATCTGGCTCAGTGTGCTTTTCGCTGTCCTCTACATGTCCAACCGCATATCTCTAACCCATCTCTCTCAGCCTCTCTTTACTCTGCCTGGCTCTGTTTCTATCTCTCTCCACATCTCTCAGATGTGTGTCTCTCTTTTTGTCTCCCAGTCTCTTTCTGCCTCTGAGTCTTTTCTCCTGTTGCTGTATTTTTGTCCCTTATCCTGAATTCCTTCCTCAGCCAGTCTTCTCTCTCCTTCTCTCTCTCTGTCCCTCTCCCTCTCTCCCCACCTTCCCTCTCTCTCCATCTCAGTTCCTCCTCCCTATTTTCTCCTTCCTTTCACCTCATCTTTCTTTCCTTCCTCATCTCCTCTCCTCCCTTTCTCTATTCTCCCCTCCCTAGTCTTTGTTCTTCCCTCCCCCTCTTCCCCTTCCCTACCACTTTTCCCTCCCTCTTCTCACTTCTCCATCTTGCCCTCCCTCTCCTCCCCTCCCTTTTCCCTCTCCCAGACCACACTTTTTCCATTTGGAGCAGGTAGCTGTCAATGAGGTCCTGGGGGGCGCTGGGGTCCAGGGTTTCACGGTGCTTCTCCACACTGTGGCCAATATAAGCATTGATTTCCTGCAGGTTTTTGTAGACTTGCCTGTGTGCCCCAGGAAAGTATTTCAAGAAGCCAGACAAGAGCTCAAACAGCTGCAAGAAAGAAGGGGTGGTGAGGTTTGCCTAGGGCTGAGCGAGCAGGTCACAGGGAGAGGGCCCTTCCTGGGCCCCAATACCTCTGTGGGAACCCCCCTTCCCCACTCCCCTCTGTCTCTGAACCCCTCACTCACTGACTCTATGTCTCATTTGATCTGTTATTCTCACATTTACCTCTTTCTGCATCTTCCTCCCTCATCCTTCTGTCTTTTTCTTGGCCTCTGCCCCATCTCCCTGCCTCTCTCCTTTCTATCTCTCTGTTTCTGTCTTGCTTCCTTTCTGTGACACTCATTGTCTACCTCAGCCTGTTTATTTGTCTTTCTCATACTTTTCTTTCCCTCTTCCCACCTCTTCTCATCTCCCTTGCTGTGTCGGACATTGATAAAATGATTCTTCGCAAGATAAGCCTGCTGACACTTTAGGACTATGTATTTTGGAGCACATCTCTATTACTTTGATGAAGAATGGAATGCCTAATTTATTGCAAATAATTGCAAAAATGCAAACGTATATACTGAGATGTAAAATTCCTTCTTAATTTCTCCTTCTAGAGATGACCATTGTTAACTGTCTGGTGGGTCTCCTTCCAGACTTTTCTCTGTGGTTCTCAATGGGAGAAGAACATTAGAATTATTGGTCGGGCTTGTTACAAGTACTCACTTTGGGCCCCATCCCAGACTTTCCAGATCAGACCGTCTGGAAAGCAGGGTCCTGAAAATCCATAACTGTGACAATCCCACATGTGAATCCAACATACACCCTTAGTTAATAGATGTAGCTATGTTGACCAGCCTGGCCAACATGGTGAAACCCCATCTCTATTAAAAATACAAGAAAATAGCTGGGTGTGGTGGAGCTCGCCTGCAGTCCCAGCTACTTGTGAGGCTGAGGCACGAGAATCGCTTGAACGAGTGAGCCGAGATCACAGTACTGTACTCCAGCCTGGGCAACAGAGCAAGATACTGTCTCAAAACAACAAACCAACAAAGCTACTGCTATGCATACTGTTCTGCAGCTTGATAGTCTTAAATTTAATATGTAATAGGCACATTTCCATGTTAATCAATGAGGAGACTTTTTAGTATTTTGTTTTAAAAGAGCAGAAGGTTACCTTTATAATCTGGGGAATGTTTTTTTAAAAAAACAAAACAAAACAAAACAAAAAAAACAAGTAGAAGGAGAAATGGGAGAAAACGAAGAAATGCTGTTCCTTATTGTCATGCATCCTTGATTTTCTTCAGGTGAGGAGCTTTACCAAAGACAGAGAAGCAAGGATACAGAAGAACGAGGAGCAGGCTGGGCACGGTGGCTCACGCCTGTAATTCCAGCACTTTGGGAGGTCGAGGCGGGCAGATCACTTGAGGTCAGTAGTTCGAGATGAGCCTGGCCAACATGGTGAAACCCCGTCTCTACTAAAAATACAAAACAATTAGCTGGGCGTGGTGACAGACCTGTAATCCCAGCTACTCAGGAGGCTGAGGCAGGGGAATTGCTTGAACCAGGGAGGTGGAGGTTACAGTGAGCCGAGATTGCACCACTGCACTCCAGCCTGGGCAACAGAGTGAGACTCCGTTTCAAAAAAAAAAAAATTAGCCAGGTGTGGTGGCGCATGCCTGCAGTCCCAGCTACTTGGGAGGCTGAGGCAGGAGAATCACTTGAACCTGGGAGGTGGAGGTTGTAGTAAGCAAGATGGCACCACTGCACCCCAGCCTGGATGAGAGAGTCAGACTCCGTCTAAAAAAATAATAATAATAACAAAAATGACATCGAGGAGCAGAAGAGTAGAGATGAAGCCCAAAGCCTGATTCGTTCTCTCTCTCCCTCTCTTTCACACTCATTCTCATCTACTCTGTCTCTCAGGATCTCTTGATCTCTGTCCTTTGTCTTGTTTTTGCTCATCTTCCTTCTCTCAGTCTCTCTCTCACTCTATTTCTGCCTCCCCATCACATCCCATTCTCTCTCTCACTGTCTCTATCCCTGTCTCACCATCTCCCCTCCCTCCAGGTCTCCATGTCCCTGACTCTCCACATGGTCTCTGCCTTTCTTCCAGCGATAAGCTGCATTTCTGGGCCCCCAAGACAGGTCATCCTTTTCTCGTGTGTCCTGGATGTTCACCTCGCCCCTACCCTCCTTCTCCTTCTCCCTCTCCCTGACCTGGCCGAACATAGAACTGGCGAGTGAGAAAGTGTGGTAGAACAAGTTCAGTATCTTCAGGAACTCTTGATCTTGGTAGTGGAAGCGTTTTCCAAAGACGATGGAGCAGATGATGTTGGCGGTAATGGAATGGAAGAGGAAGGTGGGGTCCACGAGGGCTCCTAGGAAGAAGCAGCAGGTCAAGGACACAGACTGAAGGACCTGGGGAACATCAGGCTGTCACCCATCTCTGTGTGATTGTCTGCCATCACTCAGTGATGATAACCATAAGAATAACCATAACAGCTAATTCTGTACCAGCACTTCACACGTAATTCCACTGAATTCTCTCTACAACATTATGAAGCAGATGCAATTTGATTATTAGCTCCAAGTTTTAGATGGGCAGACAGAGAGGTTGAGTAATTTGACTAAAGTTGCACAGTCACTCATTACTGAGGCCAGGATTTAGACCCAGGCAACGCAGCTATAGAGTCTATGCAGCCGGTTCTCACTCTACACCTCCTCTCAGGCCCCACCTCTGACTCTGGGAGCGAATACAGTTAAATCCCAGGGGTAGCAGTTGGGCAGAGTAGGTGTTCAATCAATTGCTTGTATAAATCAAAAAGCTCTGGGTGGGCACAGTGGCTCATACCTCTAATCCCAGCACTTTGGGAGCCTGAGACAAAAGGATCAGGAATTCAAGACCAGCCTGGGCAACATACGGAGACCCTGTCTCTACAAAAAGATAAAAAAATGTAGCCAGACATGGTGGCACATGCCTGTCATCCCAGTTGGAGGAATCCAGGGTGCTGAGTGGGAGGATCACTTGGGCCCAGGAGTTTGAGGCTGCAGTGAGCTGTGATGGTGACACTGCACTCCAACCTGGGTAACAGAGTGAGACCCTGTCTCTAATTTAAAAAAAAATAAAAAACCATCTTTCTACCCCTACCTATTACTCCCCAGTCATCTCTTCTTTTCACATATAGGGCTCGCCAGTCTTCTGGGAATTGTTCTGCACTTGTTAATTGATACCTGTATACACCAGGCTCAGCCCTGGCTCCAGCTGGAGGGTGATGTGTGAGCACCCAAGAACATCAGGTTGGCGCAGCCTCTCTCTGAGTTCCACTTGCCTTCTTCTCTCATTACTCTGCAGAATTTTTCCTGAGCCTTGTCTGTCTCTCTAATTTTCTCTGCCTCAGTTTCTCTTTGCCTTTGTTTCTTTCTGTCTCTCTGTGTATATATTTGTCTCCCTCCTACTTTTTTTTTTTGGAGACAGAGTCTCACTCTGTCATGTAGGCTGGAGTGCAGTAGTGTCATCTCAGCTCACTGCAACCTCTATTTCCCGGGCTCAAGCAATTCTTCTGTCTCAGCCTCCTGAGTAGCTGGGATTAGAGGCACATGCTACCAAGTCTGGCTAATTTTTGTATTTTTAGTCAAGATGGGGTTTCACCATGTTGGCCAGGCTGGTCTTGAACTCCTGACCTCAAGTGATCCACCCACCTCAGACTCCCAAAGTGCTGGGATTACAGGCATGAACAGCCACCATGCCCAACCTATATTTCTTTGTTTCGGTCCCTCCATCTGTCTCTTTCCTCCTGCCTGTGTCACTCTGTTTCTTCCTGTCCTTCTCTTCAGTCTTCTTGTCCCTGTTTTCCAAGAGCTCCTGTGTCTCTACCTCCCCACACAGCCTCTGCATTTATGTCCCAGAGTCTCCTGAGACATTTTGATAAGAGAGATGGGAAACACCTAGCATGAATGAGATGGAGGTGCTAGCCACAGACCCATCACCTGTGTTTCCCACAGACACCAAGTTACGGAGAACTCAGAAACAACCTAGTGCTTCCTTCATGACCCCTCCAGCTGCACCAGGGCGGAACAGCCCACCTGGCCTGTTTGCTCACTGCCAATTCATCAGCACTGCACCCAGCGCGAGGAAAACACAGTTCATTATTTGTTAAATGTCTGTAGTTTTTTCTTTTCTCTCTTTGCTTTCTTTTACATAACTTCTGTCTTTGCCTTCGATAGACACAATTGATTTATGAAAATATATGTCTCTGAGGATTTGTTTGTTTGTTTGAGACAGGGTCTTGCTCTGTTGTCCAGGCTGGAGTGCAGTGGCACAATCACAGCTCACTGCAGCCTCAACCTCCTGGGTTCAAGTGATCCTGTAGTCTCACCGTAGCCTCCTAAATACCTGGGGCTACAGGCACACACCACCATGCCTGGCTCATTTCTTTCCTATATTGTGTACAGACAGGATCTTATCATGTTGCCCAGGCTGTTCTCTAATTCTTGGCCTCAAGCAATCTTCCCGCCTGAGCTTCCCAAAGTACTAGGATTACAGGTGAGAGTCATCTCATCCAGCCTCTTTGAGCAATTCGTGGACATTATACACCTGGCATCTCTCTCTTTCCCTGGCTCTCTGTGTTTCTCTCCTGCCCATCCCCAACCCTCTCTATTCCCCTGTCTCTCTCCCTCTCTGTCCCTATCCCTCTGTCAGATCGTGTCTCCTGTTTCATGTGTGTCTGTCTCTGCCCACATATACCTCTCTTTCTATTCCCGTGCACCTGCATCTCTCAGTGTTTCATTGTCTTTCTTTCCTATTCATCTCCCAGGACTCACCCTTGGATTTCCGAAGCTCCTCTATCAGACACTGAGCCTCCTCCTGAATCCGCTCCTCCACACTCCGCTTTCCCATCCCAAAGTCCCTCATGGTGGTCAGAGAGAATCGCCGAAGCACCTTCCAGCGGTTTCCATTGGCGAAGACAACGCCTGGGGTGTACGGAAGGTGTGGGTTGGTTGCATAGGAAATTGGAAGAAGGCTCTGAGTCCTTCTTCCCCCCCATATCCTCCCTTCCCTGATGCATCCCCCACCCGCCCCCTCCCAGTGCCTCCGAGGCCCTCACCATATCCCTGGAATACTGGGTCAGTGATGGCGATTTTTCCCCGGCCAGAGAAGGCCTCAGCGTTGTCCACCAGGGCTTCCCGTATGGCCTCTACTCCACACAGCATGACCACGGGCCTCGGTCCCAGGTATACTGTGAAGACGTCCCCATATTTCTCTCGGAACTGCCAATTACATCCACACCCGGGGTGGCTGTTAGTCAGCATACACCTCAGTTGTAAAACTATCAAAATACTTACATAAGAGATTGGTAATTAGCCCCTCCCCAACATCCGCCTTCCCAGGCTGCCCTTTCCCCTGCCAGGACCCAGCGACTAAGGGTTAACGGTTAATGGTATCCAAGGGAGAGAATACAGTCATGGGTTCTTAGTTTCTGTTTCTTGTTGGGCCAATAAAGCCCCTTGCTCATCCTTCTTTTCTGTGTATCACTAGAGACAGAAACTGAAAACCATGGCTTCAGGCTGCTAAAAGACTAAAACAAAACAACAACAACAAAATAAGGTGGTTGGACAAGCTTAGGTTAATGGGTGGCCCAGCCAGGCTCTGCCCTGATTGGCTGGTGCCCTAAACAGTAGAGATGGTTGCTAAAATACGACGAATATCACCCCATCCCATACTTCTTATGATCTGTGGTTTTGCTTTTTGTAGTTTCAGTTACCTACATCTAACTGCAGTCTGAAAATATTAAATGGAAAATTCCAGAAATAATTCATAAGTTTTAAGTTGTGCATCATTCTGAGGAGGATGATGATGTCTCTCACCATCCACTTTGTCCCACCCAGGACATGAATCATGCTTTGTTCACCACGTCTGCACAGTGTATACCACCCTCCCCGTATAATGTGATTGCATAGGAAAAAGTCAGTATGTATAGAGTTCAGTATTATGTGGGGTTTCAGGCATTCACTGGGGGTCTCAGAAAATATCTCCAGTGGATAAGGTGGGATTAGTGTGCAGCCACTTGGGGAACTGCTGGGCAGTATTTCCCGAAGCTGAACAAATGGATACCCAGGAACCCAGCCACTTCACTCCCAGGAAATGCCCGGCAAAAATGTGTACTTGTGTTCACGAAAAAATGAACAAAGTATTCACAGAAACTTTCTTAATAAAATATTCATCAACATAGATAGAGAGAAACAATGAGGGTTTCACACAATAGAATATTATACAGCAATGAAAACAAACAAACTACAGCTACACTCGATAACGTGGCTGAAACTCACAGGCATAATTTTGAGTGGAAGCAATTAGACACAAAAGAGTCCATGTATCATAATCTCATGTGTATAAAGTTCAAACACAGGGCTGGACTCAGTGACTCACATCTGTAATCCCAGCACTTTGGGAGGCCGAGGCAGGCTGATCAAAATGTCAGGAGTTCAAGTCCAGCCTGACCAACATGGTGAAACCCCGTCTCTACTAAAAATACAAAAATTAGCCAGGCATGGTAGCCCTTGCCTGTAGTAGTCCCAGCTACTTGGGAGGCTGAGACAAGAAAATTGTTTGAGCCCAGGGAGGTGGAGGTTGCAGTGAGCTGAGATTGTGCCACTACATTCCAGCCTGGGTGACAGAGCAAGACTCTATCTCACAAACAAACAAACAAACAAACAAAAGAAGTTGAAACACAGATAAAATCAATCCATGATCAAGGTGGTAGGCGGATAGTGACTAGAAAAGAACAGGGTGCAGGGTTTCGGAGGACTCTTGCTACTTGGTCTGCATGTCAATTACATGAGTGTGTTTAGTTTGTGAAAATTCATTGAGCTGTGCACTTTTTATGGTGATGTTCAACTTCAATAAAAACTTGACATAAAAATTATAAAAATGGTTAAGTTTACTTACAAACGACCTGCACTGATCTCAGCAAAGCCCCTTCACTGCTCTCCGGGCTTACATGCTTATACCCCTTAACACTTGTTTCAGTGCCCCACAAGCCAGGGTAACCCCACTAAAATGTAAAATAATTAATATCCCTGTGCTCACCAAGGCCTCCAATACTCCCACTTTGCTGAGAATAAGATCCGAAGTCTCTATGGATGGTTCACATGGTCCTACATGACGTGGCCCCATTACCTCTCTGACTTCTCCTCCCATTCATTCCTCTATGTTGTTCCCTGAGATTTTTCCTGCTTCAGAAGTCTTGCAACCACCCCTGCCTCCTTCTGGTGCCTTCCACCTGAATCTTTCCTGGTCCCTGCTCAGAAACAAAGCAGAAGGAGTCTTTCCTAGACTCCTTCCTAGACTCTAGAAGACTAGAACCTAGTCTTCTAGGTTGAGTTTCCTCAACCTAACGTAGTTTTCATCACCTTCTGAAATAACCCCCTGCTTAGTTTAATCATAGCTCTTGTCCATCTGACATTTCCTTATCTGTTTATTTTTTGCTTATCTGTCTCCACCAACGGAATGTCCATAAGCACAGTGACCTCGTATGTCTTGTCCAAGATGCTACATCATCAATTCCTAGAATATTTCCTGGTACATAGAAAGTGCCCAGTGAATTGTTATTGGATTCATGAATAAATGAATGAGTGGATCAAGGTAGTTGCCATTTAATGAGCACTTATTATATACTAGCTGTATGCAATATCCCATTTAATCCTCACAACCACCTTAGGGTCACACCTTCTCATTGTCATGATCTCAACTGACAGAAGAGAAAACTGTGACTCAATGCATAAGAGTTGAATCTGAGACACGAGCCCGCATCCTTCTGACTCCAGAAGGAATCTGGAAGCTTACTGGGAAATGGAAAAGCAACAGCACCAGCTTCCTCATCCTTGACACACACTTGCTCATGCCCTCCCTCTTTACCCCGCCCCCAAGAGATGCAATCATAATAGACGGTCATGAATACCTAGAGAATCCTTGGAAGGTTTATGAAAGAGTTTTAGGGAGTCTGTGAAGCCTCATAACTTTATGCAAACATGTATGTGCCTATTTGGAAAAGAGGGGGCCATAGCTTTAATCAAACTCTCAGAGGATTTCATCATCCACAAATTGTTAAGCAGCTTTAATCTAGGAGGGCTTTGGAGACAGACCTCCTGCTGGATCTCAGTTTCCCCTTTCCCCATCTGTGTGACTCTGGACCAGTGCTTTCCCCAGGCTAAGCATCACCATCCCTACTTTTTTTTTTTTTGAGATAGAGTTTCACTCTTGTTGCCCAGGGTGGAGTGCAATGGTGCAATCTCGGCTCAGGGCAACCTCCGCCTCCTGGGATCAGGCAATTCCACTGCCTCAGCCTCCTGAGTAGCTGGGATTACGGACATGTGCCACAACGCCCAGCTAGTTTTCTGTTTTTTTAGTACAGATGGGGTTTCTCCATCTTGATCAGGCTGGTTTCGAACTCCTGACCTCAGGTGATCCGCCCACCTCAGCCTCCCAAAGTACTGAGACTAAAGGCATGAGCTGCTGTGCCTGACCACAATCCCTACTTCTAAGATGAGGGCAGCACCTCACCTTGTCCACAGGTAGTTGTAAATGACACCTGGAAAATCCCCATGACAACACAGATAATTCCCGGCCACATTACTCTAGTGAGAAAATTAAGCCCATTGATTCACATGATAGCATGATAGTCTTGTGACATGTGGAAACAATGAAAACAATAGGCACTTGGGACCTTCACCTATGTGATGCAGCTCTATTTGGTTGGGAGGGATCCCCAGATCTGCAACCCCCCTACTGCGGGCCAAGCAGCACTTTGCAGACCCCGGCCAACTGCCAGTTCCGCTGAGTTAGGCTTGGAGCTTTCGCTTACTGACTCCTTCATTTGTTCCTGGACACATATTTATTAAACACCTACTGTGTACCAGGCACTATGTTCAGCACTATGCTGAGACCTCACAGGTCTTCCTTGTCTGGAAGTGTGAGGGAGAGCTCAGCCACAGGTTCACAGGTAAATGCAGCACTGTCAAGGACATAGGCTCAGTAAGGAGGCGCAGCTGGTGTATGAGAGTATATGGTGGGGACCTGGGGCTCAGGAAATCTTCTCAAGGGAGCTGCTGCCTGCCTGGATAGCTAAGGAACCCCAATAACGAAGAACGGACACTGTTCTTGCACTGACATTCCAAAATGACCCACCCACATCCTCAAGAAACAACAACAACAACAAAACAAACTATTTGCCCCAAGTCCTCCCTGTGAGAAAATGGAAATCTTTGCTGCAAGAAAGAAGGGGAGAGGGTCAAACATGCCTATTCAAAACTTCTCCCAATGCTTTGGGAGGTTGAGGAAGAAGGATTGCTTCAGGCCAGGAGTTCGAGACCAGCCTAGGCAACATAGTGAGACCTTCCCCCAAACCTGTCTCTACAAAAGTGAAAATAAATAGTGGGGCATGGTGGCTCATACCTATAGTCCCAGGTACTCTGGAGGCTAAGGTGGGAGAATCTCCTGAGCCCAGGAGGTCAAGGCTTCAGTGAGCTATGACTGTGCCATTGCGCTCCAGCCTGGGTAACAGGCTGAGACCCTCTCTCTAAAACAGTTAAAATGAAAACATTCTTCAATATCATTCCTGACAAGCCTCCACTTTCTATGAGCTTACAAGGTAGCCACAAAGATGCTTTCGAAAACTCATTTTAGGCAAACACGAATTTCATTGACAGTTTTGCTTGTTTCGGAATTTGTAAAGGATTGGGATATTCAATGCCCATACCAGCTCTCATAAAGAAAGGGGGCAGTGAGATACCAAGAGCTAGAAGGAGCGGCAATTTCTGTTAATAGAGGCATGATTGGTGCCCAGGTAGCCTCTGCAGAGCTTGGAAAAAACCCTTAAAGATAAGGTTCAGTGCATTGTGTAGGATGTCTTTGGCCAGAATTTAAACCTATACACACTTTCTTAAATGTTATCACTCCTCACACTGCAGATGATATACTTTTAAGAGACATGGTCTTGCTCTGTTGCCCAGGCTGGAGTGCAGTGATGTGATCATAGCTCATTGCAGCCTCATACTGCACGGCTCAAGTGATCCTCCTGACTCAGTCTTCCAAGTAGCTGGGACTACAGGCACATGCAACCATGTCTGGCTAAATTTTTAAAATTTTTTTGTAGAGATATGGTCTTGTTTGGTTGCCCAGGCTTGTTTTGAACTTCTAGCTTCAAGTGATCTTCTCACTTCAGCCTCCCAAAGTGTTGGGAATACAGGTATAAGCCACCACGTCTTTGAGTGTTGACCAGTTGGGTGGTGAGCCACCCAAACAACATCTTACCTAATTACAAGACTCCTTGGCTCCGTCTATGGCATTTCCCTGAAAAATCTAAATGTTCCATAATTTGAGAGTCTATGACCCAATTACCTTGTATCTTCCAGGTAAAGTGCCAGTATCTGACTAATAACCAAAGACCACGTGTTTCAACTAAATGTCTAAGATAAATATATATGTATGACAATTATCACATTCATCATTTGTATGTCCATGTATTCTGTCTAAGCAAATACTTTTAAAATTCATAGTAGTATTGGCATATATACTCTGTACTCGATATCAGTAAAAAAGACCATTGGTGAGAAAAAAAAAACTCTATTAATAGCAAAAGGATAACAAGCCTAAGATTCAGGAGTATGGTCAACATGGGAGGGGGTAAGGGGAAGAGGAGCTGGAAGGTATCGTCAGTGTTCTAATTCTCTCATTGGAAAGTGGGTTGATTGATTACTAATAATAAGTAGATAATTAAACATAAAATTATGCATGGTAAGCAGTGATAAGCCAGGAAAACACTGAGCAAGTGCCAGTTACCATTATAGGACATTATGTATACTGTTGACAAGCACTCCCTGCCCAGACTCCCTTCCTGTTCTTCCTCTCTCCTCCACTGGCCTGACACTGACATGGGCTTCTCTGCTGTCTCTCATTGACACAGCAAAATCTATTTGATTCGTGTCACCACCTGTTTTACCTCATTCTTTCAGTGGCAGGCAGGTACCCAAGGATGTAACAGAAGATGGCAGAGAAGAGTGAAATTCTACACCTGTGGCTCATACCCAGACCCCTCTTCATGCCCACTCACCCTTCCAAGGACAGTGCCCCCACGTTGTTCCAATTCAGAGACAGAGTCTCAATTCGTTACCCAGGCTGGAGTGCAATGGCACCATCAAATTACCTGTGATAACCTATTTAATAAACCAGTGTTATGTACCTGAATTAGAGAAGCATAAATTGCTACTTACGGTATTAAAATTTGTACTTAAGAGGCTGCAACTCCAGTGTGAAGCATGCACTCATGGAGACCCTGGATGGCCACCTGGTCCTTCCTGAGTTCTTAAAATTTCCATTACTAAAAGCTCTGCATTCCATGACTCATCATAGAGGAGATAAAATGATCCAAATTATGAAAAAGTATTGATGAGGCGACTCTTCTAAGATTGCTAAGTGGTTTATAACTAATATTTGGTTTATCAAATCCATAATTCTAGTACGACAACAAAAACCTCAAGCAATTTATTTCCAGCACTTGGTAGATCATTTGAACACTTGAAGATGGAGTTAATTCCACTGCCACCTTCATTGCATGTTTTCTGGTTGTATTAAAGGTTTCCTACGCACAAAGATCAATGCCATAACAGTAGCTAAAATGTTATTAGAAAATGTATTTCCTTACTGGGCATTCCTGGAGAACTCTCCAGTGATAGAGGTACTTGCTTCACTAGACAAGTGGTAAAACAGTTAAATAAGGTATTGAATAAGGAATTAATGAAATCAGTTATAACCTAATAGTAGTAGTAATAGAAATTTTAAAATCCTCTTAAAGTTGCTGCAAAGTGTGGCTGCACCTTACACTCAAGTTAAAAGAGACTATTAACAACCTGTCTTCTCTCTGTGGACAGTGGACCTTATCTATACTCCCCAACTCCACATTCCTCAAAGGTTATTACAGGCCCAGTGAGTTCCTGCATGGCTGCAGGGTCACGAGACCGATACGTTTAGGTTGAAAGACATGTCTTTCTCAAGATATAAGAAATGTTCATTAACTGTTTTGTTTCTCACTTCTGTAACTTGCTTCCTGCCTCATGTAGTTCCCGCCTTAAGATGTTTACAAGGAGGAAAAGCCCTTTGTTCAGGGCTCAGACTCCCTGGACGTATGTCCAGCTGAGCCAGTAATCACCTTAGTTTAATAAACTCTGCTGGCCGGGCGCGGTGGCTCAAGCCTGTAATCCCAGCACTTTGGGAGGCCGAGGTGGGTGGATCACGAGGTCAGGAGATCGAGACCATCCTGGCTAACATGGTGAAACCCCGTCTCTACTAAAAATACAAAAAACTAGCCGGGCGTGGTGGCAGGCGCCTGTAGTCCCAGCTACTCGGAGGCTGAGGCAGGAGAATGGCGTGAACCCGGGAGGCGGAGCTTGCAGTGAGCCGAGATCGCGCCACTGCACTCCAGCCTGGACGACACAGCGAGACTCCGTCTCAAAAAAAAAAAAAAAAAAAAAAAAAAACTCTGCTGAACCCTTTTCGGTTTCTCCAGTCTTTGATTGTTCTGCAACAGTAAAACAAAAGGCATTAGGCAAAGCATGCTGAATTGATTGGAGTCCCTTGGTCAAAGGTATTATTGATTGAGGACAATCAGATCCACTCCTACTGGAAAGACATAGATTGATCTCTTGTAAAATAGTAATAGGAAGGCCTATGCCCCTAATAATAGAATCTCATGTATCTTCCACTCATAAACTCTGATATGACTCAATAATGCAAGGCTTTAATGCATTATGCCAAAGCACGTTTTTGCCAGGTAAAAGGAGTCGTTGATGACCCATCAGTTGATGACAACCAGACGTTTCACGATCTAGAATTTAGCGGTTGGGCCCTTTGGAAATGTCACCAGAGAAACTGTCCTTGAACTCCATTGAAAGGGACCATACCAAGTTCTTCTAAGACTGTCCTTGTACTCCATTGCAAAGGACAGTGCCAAGTTCTTCTCTAGAGCAAAACTTCAGGGTCTCAGATCTTGGATCCACATCTCTCCATTGAGAAGGACCCTTCTAGACTCCTAGAACTGCATGTCTGTTGGAGACCTTAAGGCAAAGCTGTCGGGGGAAGTTTCTCCCCAGATGCAGTTGGCATCCTATATGTGGACAGTTTTTCCGAGATTGTGGATCAAGATTTCTCTTCTATCGTGAAAGCATTATCTTTTATCTTTTCTTCCCTGTTCTCTTGCTGTCCTGACCCTTTTCCTTTCCTTACAAGAAAATCCATAGGACTATAATCTGTGAATGGCTTTAGCAAAGGCTTATACTCTAGCAAAAAACAAAAACAAAAAGAAAAAACAAGCAATTGTTGAGTTTGTGAGTCAATGCCCCAAAATCAAAATCAGGAAATAATTTCACTGGTGCCAATGCCTCTTTGTGTTCCCAATGGGAATCACCCTGAAACCCCAACGAAGGAGTGGAAAGCTATATCTTGATATTCCAGACATCATTGCCACTTGCTTTTTTGCACTCACTGGAAATATTTGGTGTTGATTATGTTCTTAGTTAGGTAATATAATAACAGTATTTAATAACATATTATTAACTAACTAAGAACATAATCACTACCAAATATAGAAAATGTATCTGAATGATGGCTGAAAAAGGCATATTGTGCTTCCAGGCATCCCGTATGCAGGACCTGGGGATAACCTATGTGGGTATGGGTAATTGCGTGTGTAATGTTACTGGATTAAATATGATAAAGTGGCCAGGCGTGGTGGCTCATGCTTGTAATCCCAGCACTTTGGGAGATTGAGATGGGAGGATCGCTTGAAGCTAAGAGTTCAAGAACTGTCTGGTCAACATAGCAAGACCCCAACTCTATAATAAATAAATAAATAAGTAAATACAGTAAAGTCTCTTTCCAACTAAATGTGGCTATGCACCCTTGCAGCATGTTAGAAAAAGACCACAAAAAAAGTAAGTTTCCCATCTTGTTCAGGAGCTATGCAGACTTACGGGTAAACAAATTTAACTGACCTCTGCTCTGATGCCAATAGGTGAGCCTCTTTTCAAACCCAAGTGCCTACCTTGAGTCTGCGGAGGTTTGCTTACTCTGTTCTTTCTCCTCACTGGTCCAGAACTTGCTATTTGTCCTAGCTCACTGCTGCTTTCCAAATTGTTTCCCTGAGAGTTCCCTGATACTTCCCATAGTTAAAAGCCAAAACAGTCAATAACTGAAATTACTGCTGAGAAAAGGTTCCAATGGGGTTCCTGGGGGCTCACTCTTGGTAGTATTGGGGGTGACAGTTGTATGGAATCTGAGGCTAATCTATACATTAGATTTTGTAGCCAGTTGAACCACCAGGGAGTTCAGATGGGTAGAAGCCACTCTCAAAAAAGGGGATGAGAACATTTGTGTTCAACAAAAATGCTTAATGGAACATCACGCAATTTTAGATCTCCTCCTTGCCCATCTTGGAGGCTTGTGTATGGTGCTGAACAAAACCGAATATTGCTCTTACCTCTCCCGTGAATTCACTAGTACATATAACTTAATTTAAAATGTGGCTGACACTGCTGTTTCTCTAGACACTGTCACCAAATACACTAAGGACATTTCTCAGGGGAAAAAGAAGATACGTGTTTACAGGTGCAGCTAACAGGTGATTTGCAAGCATCCTGAATAGTGATGGCAAGTGATATGGTTTGGCTCTGTGTCCTCACCCAAATCTCATCTTGAATTGTAATCCCCAGGTGTGGAGGGAAGGACCTAGTAGGAGGTAACTGGATCCTGGGGGCGGTTTCTCCTATGCTGTTCTTGTGATAGTGAGTGAGTTCTCACAAGATCTGATGGTTTTATAAGAGGCTCTTCCCCCCTTCTCTCTCTACTGCCACTTTGTGAAGAAGGTACTTGTGAGTCAGTTACATCCCTTTTCTTTGTAAATTACCCAGTCTCATGTATCTCTTTATAACAGTGTGAGAACGGACTAACACAGCAAGCCTGACTATCCCAAGGTTTCCTACTCTTAATGTTTCTTCTAGTGGGTCTCCAGGATACTATGATATGTGTTACCAGGCCAACTACAAATGAATGCCTCTTTAAATCAAGTTATTTTATAGCAAGCTCTGGTCCTTAATCACCATCATGCCCTGAACAAAGTCTGTGACCAATCTGACTCTAATACTATTGAACTATGTTTATTGCCTGAGCTTTGAATTATTCGATGTTGATCAGTTTGGTTCATGGAGACTCCTGGTGATGTACAGACTTCATTTTCTTTGTATTACCCTCCTGAGAGCCATCATAACAGTCTCCCTGACGTGTTGTATTTTCTCAAGAGTCTTGGCCAGGTGCAGGGTCTCACACCTGTAATCCTACCACTTTGGGAGGCCAAGGCAGGTGGATTGCTTGAGCCCAGGAGTTTGAGACCAGTCTGGACAACATGGAAAAACCCTGTCTCTACAAAAAATACAAAAAGTAGCTGGGCGTGATGGCATGCACCTGTAGTTTCAGCTACTTGGGGGCTGAGGCAGGAGGATTGCCTGAGCCTTGAGAGTTCAAGGCTACAGTGAGCTGTGATCGTGACACAGCATTCCAGCCTGGGTGACAGAGTGAGACCCTGTCTCAAAAAAAAAAAAGGAGTCTTAAATGCTCATATGCAGCCATTCTTTGTACATCCAATGGTCTCGTTACAGTATGAATAACAAAACCATGAAGAAAACATAAAGAATCACTCAACTACTTTGGTCTTGTCCATTGTGAATTCCATACTAAGAGCAAACAAGTCCATTATGATGGTGAGAGAAGTAATGTTGATGCCCAAGGTTTTGGTCAGTCTCAAAATTTTGAGGCTGACCAAAAGGGGAGAATTGTTTAATTAAATTAAATTTGACCTCAAGCTCTCTCTGTATACAGTGAACTGCAACCTAATTTGGGACTATATTCTCTCTCTCTTTTTTTTTTTTTTTTTTTGGAGATGGAGTCTCCCTCTGTCACCCAGGCTGGAATGTAGTGGAAACATCTCGTCTCAGTGCAACCTCCACTTGCTGGATTCAAGTGATTCCTCTGCCTCAGCATCCTGGGTAGCTGGAATTACAGGCACGCACCACCATGCCCAGCTAATTTTTGTATTTTTAGTAGAGACAGGGTTTCTCCATGTTGGCCAGGCTGGTTTTGAACTCCTGACCTCAGGTGATCCGCCCGCCTCGGCCTCCCAAAATGCTGGGGTTACAGGCATGAGCCACTGTGCCCAGCCCAAAGGAATATATTCTTGTGACAAGTAGCCAAGTGTTGGCTTATCAGAGCAGCTGGGCTTTCAGTCCACCACAGGTGCAAACTGCTCAGATTGTGACCAAGTAAAGCAAGCTGTGATCTGTGGCCAATCAGGCTGTTTCTACATGTCACCTCCTTTTCCTGCCTGTAAATACTGTTTGCCCATTCTGCCGTGTGGTGTCTCTCCTTGTTTAAGGAGTTGTCCGATTCATGAGTCACCTCTTTGCTCAAATAAACTCTGCGAAATTTAATTTGGCTGATGTTTTTCTCCTAATAACAGCACTCATCATGCTTCACTATGCTCCGTACTCACCATCCCTCCCCGTGCCACCCCTGACTCAGGAAGTCTGCCTCAGTCTGTTTGGTGAAGGATCCCCAAGTACAGAGGTAAGAAGCAGCCCACCCTCAGACCCCATTCATCTGTGCCTTACCCTGTGAAAGGATCTGAGCAGGCCTCTTCTGTCCATCTGCAGAAGGTTTCCCAAAAGGGGCAGAGGGCGGGGACCTGGTGGGAGGCGGCCATGGGCGTTAGGGTGGCGCTGAACCAGGAGTAGCAGGAGGCCTGTAAGGAGTGCAAGGAAGAGGAGGACGCTGAGCTCCATGGTTCCGGTGTGACCGCCCTGCACCCCACTGCAGCCTCCAACTGGGCCTTTTATCCTGAACCTACCTCTCCACCCAGTTATGAAATTTCATCCATTCCCCGCCTCCCTTTTCGTCATTGTCCAGGAGCATTAACTTAGAAAAAGGTATTAGGGAACCCACACGACATGTTGGGCAACCCAGAGACCTGATCCCTATCCCTCACCCACTCTCTAGATGTTGGCAGAGATACAGTGGTAGAGATATCAAAGTCCACCTGAGCATGTGAATGTGTGGGTGTGTGGGTATGTGTATGTGTATTTTTGTAAACATGGGTGAGCATGCACTTTTTTACTTAGCTTTGCCTGTTTGTTTATGCTTGTGTACATTCATCCATGCCTGCTTGCATCCCTGTATG